GTGTTTGGGGCTTTTTAATTTTTGGGAGAAGGTGAGAAAGGGGGAGGGTTTGATTAGAACAGCCTTCTGCAATCACCTGCTCTTTAGATGAATTGGACTATATGTTCCATAATTCTCAGTGGCAATTGATGGGATCTGTGGTACTCAACCCTTGGAGAGCACCACCAGACTGGAGATGAATGACAGGGGATTGTGAAATGATAGCCATTTTTATTGATCACTGTTGCAGATAATGAGGATAGTGAGGTGGTTTTATTTCATCATGTTGGAAAGATCATCCAGTGAAGCTGAATGGTGGGGGATTCAGGGGAAGTAAAAAATATTTCTTCAAAAAAAAGTTACATTATATTATTTGTTACCACAAGATGTTGTGATGACCATCACCTTAGATGGATAGCTTTAAAAGGAAATCAGATTGTACATAAATGTATCAGTCAGTGGCTGCTACTTAGGATGGCTGTATATCACTTCCATAATTTGGATTTATGCAGAAAATTATATTCGATAATTCACAGTCTATTTATGCAGAATATTTTAATTTTACTAATGTGATTGAGCATCCCTTTTAATCATAATATCATTTTAATATCCTGTGAGATAGGTTAGGATTCAAAAATAATGGGTGGTCCAAGAAATGTTATTCAGCTTCATGACTGAATGAGGACTGAATGAGGATTCTAGCCTGGCAGTTTATGATACAGTAGGGGAAGGCCCATCATGTGGATTAATCTCTGCCACTAGGTGGCAATAGGCCTGAAAATGAGATTTGAACCCCCAACTGTACTGATTTGAACCCACCCATTCTAGCCTGGCAATTTATGATACAGTAGGGCAGTGGTCCCCAACCTTGGGCCTCCAGATGTTCTTGGACTTCAACTCCCAGAAATCCCGGGCAGCAGAGGTGGTGGTGAAGGCTTCTGGGAGTTGTAGTCCAAGAACATCTGGAGGCCCAAGGTTGGGGACCACTGCCCTACTGTATCATAAATTGCCAGGCTAGATCTCTGCCACTAGGTGGCAATAGGCCTGAAAATGAGATTTAGTTCCAAAAGAGTCAATTTCCCTTATACTGTATTATGTGTACCAAACACATAGTCAAGATTCTCACTAGTCAAGGACTGGATTCTCCTAATGAGATTTGTTTCCAAAAGAGTCAATTTCCCTTTTATTATGTGTACCAAACATCACGGCTAAAGCAGGGAACTTTCTCACTAGTCAAGGACTGGATTCTCCTATTAGTACAGTCTAATTTCTGCCTGTTGTTCTTTGTGTAGTGATTAGCTTTTTAAGTAAATGGACAGAAAGCATTGTATACAAGAATGTTGCCAGATCTCCAGATTGTTTCCAAAAGAGTCAATTTCCCTTTTATTATGTGTACCAAACATCACGGCTAAAGCAGGGAACTTTCTCACTAGTCAAGGACTGGATTCTCCTATTAGTACAGTCTAATTTCTGCCTGTTGTTCTTTGTGTAGTGATTAGCTTTTTAAGTAAATGGACAGAAAGCATTGTATACAAGAATGTTGCCAGATCTCCAGATTTCAAGCAGGGCTTAATTTTTTTTGGGGGGGGGGGGTTAGAAGGGCAACTTTAATAAAACCCACAAGCCTCTTTCCTTGACTGCCTCAAATTTCGGCTTAATTACAGCTCCTTGACAACTTTGTATGATGGGGGTTGTGGACATTGAGGTTGCTTTGGCCCTCTATAGAGTAAACAATACATTCAAAGGAACAATACAGTATGGAGAATGAAACATATCAGCTTCCCTCTATAATATTATACATACACCATTTGGCAAATTATAGGAGGCTTTGTCAAAGTAGCCCTTGCTTGCAGGGTTACTAAACATAGTTAAAAATTGAACCTTAGGGTTTCTTTCTCAATATTGTCTGATGTTGCACAATGCTCTGTAACAGATTTATTCCAGGAAAGTGGAAAGCTTTCTTTTAAAATGTTTGACCCATCATTCAATAATATGTCATCAATATTTGAATCAGGTGTACAAAAATTCTAACTCCAGCTCCTGGCAGTGATCCATTAGCAAGCTAGCATGAAAGCAGCTTCTATATTTGGTTCTGACTTACAAGTAAAACAAGCTAAATTTGAGAATTTAGAGCCAAAAGTTACCCTGTGTGACATTTAACCTTGTAGTTCTTGGTAATTAGGACAGGAAGCATTAGATTAACTTATTCCCTGCCACCATTGTATTTTTCCTATTGCAAACTATTCGCTCATTTGGAGTACCCACGAAAGCTTGCATATTATACCATTTTTATTTTTTAATTACTGTCCTATAAAGGCATCACTTATTCTTGCACTTGTTTGGAGTGTAGTTTTCCCTTGGTGGGGTTGTTGCTGCAGTTGTTACTAGGATGGGAAGATATGGGAGAGAGCAGGATTTCTACTTCTTGAATAGATTTGTTAGAGGAGGAATATCAGCTTCTCATGCAAATTGCCCCCTCGCCCCGTTATTTTGATTATACAAAGAGTTTCTGTTTTGCCAAATGCTGTTGTCTGCCTAATAGTTTGCTGGACTAAATTGGGTATCTTAATTTCCCAGGTTGCATTCATGCTACAATCTGCAGATCTGTCACACCACTTTGAAAGCATGCATCTAGACTCAAGCCTTCTGGCCCGAACCAAAATTTCTGGGTTGCCTTCCCCACTAGATGGCATGCTTGATTCTTTTATGTGCCAGACATGTTTTAAAAAGTCTCAAAGGCAGCCTCTTCTCACAGGTTATTGAGCCTTCACAGTCGAGCTGTCCTTTGATAGACCAATTTTTTGCTTGTTTGCTTCCTTGCTTGCAGCATTTGTTTATTCTCTTTCTGGTTGGCAGGGTTCCCAAAACAACTTGCACTAGATATTTTTTAAAAGGTTAAAAACATCCTTTAAAGTTTAAAAGGCAAGCCAAATGTTTGTTAAAAGCCATTTAACAAACAAAACTAGTCTCAGAGACCAAAGGCCCTTTGAAGTGATGAAGCTCTAGCTGTCCATCGGAAGCTCAGTGGAGATGGGATCAGCCTGACTTTCCTCAGGAGGGAGTCCCATAGCCAAAGATCTCTACAAAGGGAAACCCTATCTTGTCTGTCCACCAACCTAGTCTTTCAAGGTGGCAGGACATGAAATGGAGCATCTCCTCTCAAACACTGGAGAAGTATCTGGCTGTGGAGCCAGAGTTTGGGAGTTTGATTCCCCACCATGTCTCCCTGGAAGCGTCTGGATTTGATGATCCATGGGGTCTCTTCCAGTGATGTAGTTCTAAGATAAGATGATCTCTTCCCTCCCTCTAATATATGGGAGGAGGAGGTCTTATTTTTAGCCATCTTACCTACATTGTGTGATGGTTGTTTTTTGGAGAAGAGTTTAGAGAATATATATGTAGTAAAGGATGTTGAAAATTGGCAGGAAAACTAGCTATGGAATATTTCACATGAATTGGTGAACTGGATCTTTGTCACACATTTGCTTGTCATGAATATGGGATGTAGCTGACACACATCAAACCCAAACATAGAGATCCCATATTGGGCCAGTCACATCCTCTCAATCTGACCTTGCAGACCTGTTGAAAGAATCAGGTAGGGATAAGAAAAGCCATATACAGTATGTTGCTTTGAGCTTATTGGTGGAAAAAGGGATATAAATGTAATGAATAAATATTATGTCCAGTGGGTGGGCAAACACAGAGGTTCAACTATGAGTCAAGTAACAAAAAGTCACATGACTTTCTATAGTGTAGACATTCTAGTTAGAAATGTATGTTTTAAACATGTAGTTCCACTCTATTTTTGTTGTTGTTGCTGATTTTAATTTATATTGTAATGTTGTTTTCATTTGTCAGAGGACTTAAATTATGTGGCAGTTATACAAGAAATAATAAAATAAATACAAAAGTGGATATTGAGAATATTGGATTTATATAATCACTATTGTTCAGGAGCTAATGAAAGCCTCGTACCCAAAAGACTGGTTTTCAAATGCGTTCCCAGCTATGAACTCACTGTTTGTTCTTGATTAATTAATACTCTCTTTACCTCAAGGAAGTTACCTTTTTTTATAAAAATATTTTATTGTATTTTTTCTACTTTTCTATCCGTTGCAGCCAGAGTGATTTATTACAATATGTTCCATTCATTTCATCTTGTCTTACACTCTCTAACATAATATTAATCTAATCTATTCTACTTAAATCGGTGTAGATTTCATCCAGGTATAAAGAGGTTCCTGTTTATTTTTATCCAGTCTATCATTTAGTGTATCTATCAAAATATCCATTTCTACTAGTTCCAAAATCTTCTCAATAAATTCCTTCTTTGTCGGCACCTTTGTCGTCTTCCACTTACTGGCATATACAATTCAAGCTGAAGTTATCAGGTGTAAAGTCAATTAAGTCTTGTTTTTTTCCCTGAGTGTAGCTGGTAATATATTCAATAGGAAGCTTTCTGGTGTCAAAGCAATTCTAACCCCTAAAATTTTCTCTATCATTTTATGAATCATTTCCCAAAAGTCCTTGACCCTACTGCACATCCACCACATATGACAGAAGCTTCCTACTTTCTTTTCACATTTCCAACACTTATCAGAAACATTTTTATACATGTTTGTTAATTTCTCTGGTGTTACATACCATCTGTAAAACATTTTGTATATATTTTCTTTTAGATTTATAGATTTAATAATTTTAATACAGTATTTCGTTCCCTTTAATATTTTGTTCCCAACCTCAAGGACGTTATCATCTGTCTCATGCTTGTCAGCATGGCAAATGGTAAAAAAAAATGGGCAAAGCTTGCCATATTAAGAAGAATTTTAAAAGATTGTTCTGTAGAAAATGATTTGCAGTCTACATTCCAAAACTTGAAAGGCGGTTTCTCCTGAAAGGAGACTGTAATCCATGGTAGATTGGATAAGAATTACTGGTAAAATGCTAATTGTTGATAAAGTCTGATAATCAAAGCAGAAAGAGGAAAAAAAAACATACTCTTCCTTTTCCTTTTCTAGATGCTGCAAGATTGTCCAAAAGCTCGCAGAGAGGTGGAGCTCCACTGGAGGGCGTCTCAGTGTGCTCATATTGTGAAGATTATAGATGTCTATGAAAATCTTTACCAGGGTCGAAAATGTCTCCTGATAGTCATGGAATGGTGAGTGTTGCTGCCTGGTGGGGTGAAGCAAGGGATGCAGTTCACCAGACTTGTTCATTTAAACTTGGAGTCAGTATCATACAATTGGAGGGGGGATCATAGTGATTTAGACACTGCACAGGTACACAGCAAATCTTGTGCTTCCACTATCGTGTTTCCAAAATTTAGATATTTTTAGAATCTGGCAAAATTGCATTTTGAACTATTGTTCCAGTGGATTTTTGGTTTTCCAGCAGCCGGGCTGGTTGTAGGATTCTTGGATTCCAAGTTCTAGTTTTGTCAGAATGATCTTATGTAAACTCATATGCAAAGTAGTTAGTTACTTCCAAATGAAACAATGCTTCTTGTGCTACAACTTCCAGAATGCCCTAGCTGAGAATCTTTGATATGAACATTATAGGCATGGCTGATGTTTCTTGCTGCTCCAGTTTCTTTACTATTATTTCACTTTATTTTATTTATTAAAACATTTGCATTGAACCCTGTATCTGAAGATGTTAGGTATGGTGCAATTGAAATACATCAAAGGAAAAAAAAGGGAACATGTGATCCATTTATAGAAACAAAGTATGAGGTTGGGCAAGACCTGACTTGATCATAAAAGGGTTTGCTGAAATGGTTTTATATGTTGGCTGGCTGACTTAACTTGCCATAGGCAACATACCTGGCTCAATTTCTAAATTATTTTGTTGTAACTCTGTTCCCCCCCACCCCCATCTTTACCTGATGCAAATTTCTGGAGAATCCGAAAGCTAATCTTATTTGTAACTTTTTGGTAATTTTGTGAGAGCTAGCGGGGTATCGTAGATAGAGTGATGAACTCAGGAGACCCGGGTTCCTTGTTCCTCCTTGGGCACTGGTGGAGTGGCATTGGTGTAACCACCCCTTAAATCAACATACCTTGAACATCCTATTAGGTCACCATAAGTCCAATGCAACTTGACGGCACATAACAGACAAACAAAGCCAAATAAAGGTATCAGAAAAGCACCTTATAAACTAATTTGAAACAGTATTTCTATCTTATAGTGCCAGTAGATACCATGGCACTAGCTTTATTGCAGAAAAGCAAATGATTCATCATGAGTTCACAGACTTGAAACATAATATATATGATAATCTAGAGCACTAGGTAGCTGTAGAAGGACACTGTCAGGAAGGTTGTCTTGTGTTCTGAGAAGCAATACAGCTAAATGATGTGACAAAAGACTGAATCTTATAAAATCTTAATTGATCAATTGTCTTATATAAGGCACTTGCTATTTTGTAATAGAGCAGCCCCTGTTTTTTTGAGGTTTGTTTGGATTTGCCATTAATATAGACCGATTACTTCATTGCCTTTCTTTTAATCTCCACTTTTCACCTCCATTCAGCTATGTATCTTTTAAGGAACCTTGCTCCTTGCTTTTGCTCTTGTTTTTATTGGGAAAGGTTTGAACTTCTTTTCTGTGATGTAGGGCAGTGGTTCTTAACCTTTGTTACTCGGATGCTTTTGAACTGCAACTCCCAGAAACCCCAGTCAGGACAGCTGGTGGTGAAGGCTTCTGGGAGTTGCAGTCCAAAACTCTTGAGTAACCCAAGGTTAAGAACCAGTGATGTAGGGAACAATATAATGGAAGTTTTAGAATCCAAGTGCTGTGGCAATGGTGTGCATTGAGCTGGGTGCTGGCTGCAGGTTTGTTGCCTTGTTCGCTGTGGAGGAAGTCTCAAAGTCTCATACGTGTCACAAACAAAGTCTAGGAGAACTTGAGGTGGCACTGTGCTCTTCGTGTTTTGTGTAGGTGATAGTTCTTGTAATTGATCTGTTTTGTGTCTTCCAGCTTGGACGGTGGTGAACTTTTCAGTCGAATTCAAGACAGGGGAGACCAGGCTTTCACAGAAAGAGGTATGAAGAGTTACAATATACCCTGTTTTCCCAAAAATAAGGGTCTTATATTAATTTTTGCTCCAAAAATGCATGAGGGCTTATTTTCAGGGGATTTTTTTTCATGTACAACAGTCTACATTTATTTAAATACAGTTATGTCATCGTCTGGCTGCTGCACAATGGTGGAGGGCGGGGTTTCACTTAACTGGGACTTATTTTTGGGGTAGGGCTTATATTACGAGCATCTTGAAAAATCCTACTAGGTCTTCGGGAAAACAGGCTATTTCTCAAAACTGAACATAATGGTGTTGTTTTGTAGCATAATCACCTCTGTTTTAAAATTGTGTTTGCCTTCTAAGGGTTGTGTTAAACAGTTCTCCAGAGCATAAAGGATTACGCTGTAGTTTTCTCATCAGTCCTTCCAACTGTGATTTAGAGCAGATTTTGAGGTCAAGTTGTTGTTGTTGTTTTTGGTCTATTTTGACTTTTTAATGGAAGACTAAAATTCAGCAACAGGAGCCAAGTGGAAAGAGGAAACTTTGAAATGGAGTCAGATGAAATACTCTATATTGGAGACAATCACACATTATACTTGCACCACCACCACCATTTATTCATTAGACAACATTTTTTTATCCAAGGATAAAAGCATCTTACTGTTTAAGAATATACAAATATTAAAAATGCAAATACAAGTCAACTTGAGAGTTACTACAGAACTTGATGCTCACAAGGTAAAGGGGAAAATTTGCTTTATTATTGCCAAAGAATCTACTAGTAGATCTTCATTTACTTTTGCTCAGCTCTATTTTAAAAGATTCTGAACGAGCCCCAGGCTTGCTTGCTCCCTGCTTCATTGATTTCATATGCTGTATTTAACAGAGTCTATTGTTCTTATCTCTGAATTTACAAGCTGTGGTTAAATCTGAGCAAGGGAAAAGTAGTTCTTATTCTTTACCATCCTCATCCTCATTGTCCTCCTCCTCCTCCTCCTCCTCTTCTTCTTTTCCT